GAGGAGAGCTGGCTCCGGATTCACGTGCTGCAGCAGCAACCCACGGAGTCGGGCTTTTTTGCTAGCCAACAAGAGGCTCGATTTCCTAGAAGATACGAGGCCAGCTCTCGTCATCATCTTTATCGTTATCATTTTCCAACAAACTGCCCCGCGTGCAGAAGGTCATCTAAAATTAGATTCAGGAGGGTAAAGGCGTTGAACTGCCCACTTAATGGTAGTTCCACTCGGTAGCCACAACGTACAGGATCTGACATTGCTATCTCTTCCTTTGCGGAGCTCTTCTACTCGAACGACGTTCCATAGTTGTCGGGGGCTTACTAGTCTCTTGAAGGAGAATAAGGTCGCCTTTCTTGATTCGATCAGATGAAGTCGCTGATTTGGGAAATGGCATTACTTTCAACTCCGAGAGGTATTCTTTAGACGAACGCTCCTAAAAAATTCTGCGAGTGTTGTTTCTTTGTTCCCACATAGGTAACATATTATGACTATTGACTGTGATCTTGGCGGGAGTTTGGTCGGGAAGTGCAGATAAGCGTCTTCCAATGAAAAAGTGAGCTGGAGAAAGTGGTTCCAGCTCTCAATAGTCATTATAAACGTATGTTATTGGTCAGGAGTTGATGACAGCTTCTACTTCAGTTAAGGTCGTCTATAGCTGTTTCTCTGTAAGAGACGCTTTTCCTATGCACTTCTTCAACGTCAGTTTGACAGACCTGACAAGTCTCTCGTGAAAGCCACCTCACTATGCATGATTGGCTCGATTTTCTAGAAGTGGTGCCGAAAACCATCGAAATAGTGAACCACATCGATGAACTCAAGGTAATCGGCTTCCCGCTTACGGATTCAACCGACCGACTTACAGCTGCTCACCGCGTTGACGAAACATGGAAGCTCTCAAACTGAAGCGTAAATCCGAGAGAGCCCAGGCACGACATCAACAGTTCACAACCGAGTCATTAACCACATCGGCGAAACCAGTTACAAGCAAGAACGCCTGCTTTTTTTGTGAGGCAAACACCCATAACACAGAGCAGTGCGACTGTCCGATTCCTCTTGAGGAAAAGAAAACAACGACTACCCAGTGCAGTTCGATGTTTCTGATGCACATTTCAACATCATTTGGCAAAAATTGCAGAAGGAATGTGACATGTACAAAGTGCAATCGAGGTCATGCTGAAACAATATGTGAACCTCGGTTGCTGAATTCAATTAACAGTCCACAAACATCACCAGCGCCAATGCAGCTAGAAATGATTGAAACTGGCAGCTCCAAACCGTGTGTGTTTCTTCAGACAGCTAGAGCTTGGGCCATCGGGCAAGGAAACAAATGCCTAGTTCAAGTTTTATTCGACGGATGCAGTCAGCGCAGTTTCATGACGAAGCGACTGGCTGATAAACTTGCGTAGTTGATTACACGGTCACGAAAATCTTTCAGTGGGCTATTTAGGAGGACGACATGATGAGGATCCCTTCTCACACGTGTTTATCATCTTGAGTTCAGTGCGTGGTTGCAAGTCACAGCAGATAGCCCTCGTCACGACGAAGATCAGCCACCAATCAATCCCACGACCAACAAGAGAGTTCAACGATAAACTCGGACACTAAGGACTTGACTTCTCCAATGTAGACCAAGCTGAGAGTCCAAAGGCTGTTGACATCTTGATCGGCAGTGACTATTACTGGTCTTTTGTCACTGGAACCATCGACAATTTAGAAAACGGACTAAAAGCAGTTGAGACTTAGGCTGGACGCTACATAAACTAGCAACATCTTGTGCTACCACCACAAACTGCAACGAGGTCATTGTACTAAAACCAGAAGTGATGAACCGTGAGACAACAGAAAATTACGAGGACTTGTAAATAATGAAAATAAAATCAGAGGGAAGTAAGAACATGTACAACGAAGACCCAGAAGCTCCTTCAGTCGAAAACGCATCCCTACAGCGGTCACAAGCCGGCGAGATATCGTATGCTTCTGTGAAGTTACAAAACGGGGCTTCGGACGATCCACATGTTATTGGAATGAAGTCTACGCGACCCCCACAGTTTAATCTCGTTGATGTGGACAATGTACCGAAGGCCTTGAGTGAGACTGCTACAGCACACTGATGCCGGCGTATTGTCGTGTAGTGCGAGAAACGCTGATGAATTCATTCAGCAAAGGACCGACAAGAAACCCTTCATCCTGCATATGGCATCTTGCTTACGCTGCATATGTGGCAGGTTGAAGTCTTCCTCGGATAAGAGGAAGCAGAACTCTGGAAAGCAGAAGACTGCTGAATTTTTAAGAAGAAGAGCATCCTTAGCCTGGTGGACTAGAATTGGCTTACTTGAGAAGACAGTGAGTGGTCATCATGCTGTCTCTACACAAACTCTGCCAACCGTGTCACAGCTTGGCTACTACAATATGCCTCCAAGCGCAAACTGAAGAGTGTTTCTAAGAAAGCCTTCAATGCCGAAGATATAAAAGCCGGTGCGGCATGCTTTCCTGGGCACACTTATTTAGCGGAGGCCTTTCTGACATGAGAAGAAGTTTAAGCCAAAAGTTAGCGCCCCGTTTACACTGGTCAAGCGAGCACTGGAAAATATATATATATTCTTCAAATAGTGGAGCTCCACAGCCTACCACCAGGTAGAGCTACTGTGAAACAACCGGACCTTTCAGCATCTGTATCCGCTGGAATTGAACTTTTTGCAAAATTCTGCGCGCAGGGCAGTTTGTTAGAAAAAAAGATCGAAGACGACGAGGAGAGCTTGCTTCAGATTCACGCGCTGCAGCATCAACCCAAGGAGTCGCGCTGAGGTTTATTTCAAATAAACCCTTTTTTGCTACGGAATGGGAGACTCGATTTTCTAGAGCCCAAACCTAGTCTAAATCAGTCTTTTTTTTTTTTTTTGAGCACTTGCGTTTTCATTTCTTTTAAAAGGAGAATTATTCAGTGGAGAAACAGTACACTAAGGTTCCTTTTGTCAATGAGAGAGGATGAGTATTTCTGAACAGTTTTGATTCATGACAGATTCCTTTACAAAAAAACTTTCAAAGCTTGGCGTGCTGAATTTTATGTTGCTTTAGAATGCGAATCAGTGTTTCAATGAATAGTCACCTAGCACTCAATGAAACGAAGTAGTATCAAGTGAAAGTTATATGTAACAGTTCCCTGATGTAATAGTTTGTTTTGAGAACTAATTAATTTTACTGCACTTTATTCATTGAGGTGGCACGAAAACTAGTTACTGATATTCGAAATAGCATGTGGCTACATGTGTCTATAATAGGCATCGCTGCTTTTATTATGTAGTGTTACTTGTTGTGTGGATAGTCACAGCACAGTCAGCCAACTTTGCTCCTGCCTATAAATTGGGTAAGTATAGCAACCGGACAGAAAAGCTGCAATAAGTCAGCATGGCTTTATCTAAACTTGCACCTGGTCCACACGAGAATCAGATGAATTATTGCTATAAATGTATTGGGAGATGTAAGAGTAAATGTAACCTAAAATTGGTAATTTAAAATGCTTGTCATCAGAGGATATTATACATGCACATTACATGTACAGTCTATGTGGCATATATGTTGTAGAGGATGTAATGAATAAGGTTACGGAGTACGACTGTGGCAATGAACAGCTGCTGTGCTCTGTAGCCGGTATGTATGTGTGCTTTCTTACTTGCAAATGCTTCACTAGCCATTCCTTGCTTTGCTAGTGAAGTCTTTGTCACTTGCAAGTCACTTTACAACAAATAACACCTATTATTATACTCTCTAGCGAATGTCGGTAAGTTAAAACCTGTTTATTTTTCACATTTATTATCTTGTTAACCTCCTGTTGATCATGTTGTTTCATGTACATTTTCGGCATGTCTTTGCAAAACCAAAACAGCTTTGACAGTCAACTTAATTTAGGCTTGGTTTCAGAATATTGGCTTGCTTAACAAATATCTATGTAAAGTTTGTTGTGGATGCAATTCTATGCTATGTAAAACTAGCGTATTTGTACGTTATCTCGTAGTGAAATACTATGCGGTATGGTTCGCTATCAGCCAACCAAGATAAAAGATTGTGGGTCAGACACCTTGAGTGTAAGTTCGGTCGTTGAGCACGTAGAGTTTCCCACAATACTTACTAGAGGGAACTCTGGCGCTAGTGTCTAGGGGAGCAGCAACGCACGGCGCTTCAGCGAGCATGGGAATGATGGGTAGTACACACATTTGTCTATTATTCGTACTTCTGGCCTGCCTTTGGCTCTGTGTGGGTTCGTGTGGCTTGGAGCTGTTTTCTTACGAAACAAGTATTAGCAAATGTTCAGCGATTAAGCTTCATCATTTTATTTTTTTTAGACTTACTTTCCAAATTAGCTCACGAAGTTCAAAAGCATTCAATCTTTCTTTCAAAACAAAACCGAAACACAGCAATAAACGAAGCCGCAAGTACGATTCGCCGCCCGCAAGTACGAAGACTAGGCAAATGTGTGTACTACCCATCATTCCCATGGTCGCTGAACGATCGCAGCGCCAGAGTGCCCTCTAGTTAATTTTGAGAAACTCTATGGTTGAGCAAGGTGATGATTGCGATGTGGTGAAAGTGTGTGCCAACATTCTCCAGAACATGTATGCAGACTCAACACATGTGATACAATGCAACCAAATGTGATGCACACAATTCTGCTTCAGTTTGTAATGACATGCAGTATCATGCTCTTGACTTTTCAAGATCTGTGCACCAAAAAGCAATGTTCAATTGAAATAAGTGCAAATTAGAAATGCCTTATCAGAAGAAAAAAAAAAGGATGGTGCACAGAAGTGTATGCAGTCAGATAAACGACAAATATAGTATGCATATGTAACATCGCTATCCTCTCACAAATATTTGGCTGCCAGTGTGGAACGAAAATGGTCATTCAACTGCACGGAGGACTATTTACAAAATTCTGCTATTCATCATTGAGGTGAACACACAGCATGAAATTGCAATGCCTCTCGTGAACACGAATGCACACTGGTACCACTGAAGTTCAGCATTGAGTTTATTCAAACATTGGTGTAAAGATGAGGGTACCAAAGTACAGTACTAGGCTACTTTGGAAATAGGCCCCGACGAATAAGCGATAGGAAACAAGAATTATGAAATACAGAGCAGTTGTAAAAAGTGATACAGTATGTCTCTCTCGATATAGAGTAAACGCTCATTAGGTAGAGCCTGAAGGGACTGGGAAATTATGTCCCGTGAGGGTGCACAATAAAAGTACAAAACCAATCATATCAAACACAGTTGTTCCATTTAGGCAGCAGTTCAGTTTAAAGCAGATTCCTATTTACTGAGAGTTACTGTACAGGGTGTTTTAGAAAATGTGTCCTAAATTGAAAAAAAAAAATCTGGAAGATGTGTTATTTGCTTGCTGTCTTCATAATTTCTCTTTCTGTAGTATCAGGTGCCTCATTCTGGAGGCCTCAGATGAATATGGCAGTTGCGCTCTTAGGCCTTCAGTTTCACCGTTTTGGTGGTTGAGTTTTTATTACGTGGCAGTTATTACATGAACAACTTCAATTGTTCCATTTAACACAGCCATCTAACTTCACTAAGAAGTTAATTACTATAACTTCTCTAATTGCTATCTCAGATTATGTCCTTAGCTATATTAGGAAGCCTGCAGTTACGTAACAAACAATTGTGAAGGCGTCGAACAAATATACCATTTTCTTGTTTTTTGAGGATTCTGGGCATATTTATTGAAACACCCAGTATTACGCACGTGCGTCTGTGACAGAAGGTAAAATCAAGTGATGTTCAACCATAGTGTGAACAGATTGCAAACAAATACAATTAGTGACTAGCCTGTGGAGTAAGCCTTCACCTACGTTGACGAGGTTCACAGGTGATTCTGCAAAGAATCAAGTAGAATCATGAAGCCGTGGCACACACCCACGCTGGGAGACTGATAATGAAATGAGAAACTTGAGAAGAAATGTCTTAAATATACGTTATAATTTATTTGTTTAACAATGACAGAAAATAAAATAAAAACAATATTGCAAATATTAAGAATAAGTGAATAGGGAAGCACTGATATAAATAGCAAGTGGAGAATTTGGGCAAGAAAAAAAAAGGCAATTGGGAAAAGCAGGACAATAAAACAAGGCATCGGCAATCAACCTTCTGGTAACTCTATCTGAGAGACAAAGCCCTCTAAGAAAGTACATTTGGTGCATGAAATCTAATCAAATGGGTCAACTGGCACACGGAAACTAAAGTAATTTTGTGCAAGGTAGAGTATTACAGTGAATGATGCTCTGTTGTCTCATTGATTAAAAAAAAAAAGCAAGCAGGGCAAAGCTGCTTGACCAACTCATTTGACAATGTAGTCCTTTGACTTGGTCGTGTTAGACATAAGATCTAGTGATCGATTCACGCGCTGTAACTCTAATGAGTCGCCCCGCCGCGGTGGTCTAGTGGCTAAGGTACTCGGCTGCTGACCCGCAGGTCGCGGGATCGAATCCCGGCTGCAGCGGCTGGATTTCCGATGGAGGCGGAAATGTTGTAGGCACTTGTGCTCAGATTTGGGTGCACGTTAAATAACCCCAGGTGGTCGAAATTTCCGGATTCCTCCCCTACGGCGTCTCTCATAATCATATAGTGGTTTTGTGACGCTAAACCCCACATATCAATCAATCAACTCTAATGAGTAGGTCACCGACGATGCAGAAAGTTCATTTGGCACTTATAATGAGTTTGGATGCCGGAATTACATGGATAACCGGGCCATTGACATATTTCATTGTTGGAGCATCCGCCCTTTCTTTCAGAGCGGGGCCTTGATGTTCTGCAACATTCACCAACTAACGTTATTTTTATCTGCGTGAAAATGAATGACATTGCACTCGACACATACCATTACTCATCAGCAGTACGGGAAGATCACTTCGACGGTGACTCAACCAACCCGCAGCGACATATCCATCCAAGTCAATCTTGATTTTCATTTCATGTCTGGGGCAGATCGCAACAACCCGAGCACCCCGCAAAAGTAGGCGGGGCGCCCCTGGGACGACCTGTGCCCCTGCAAAAATTCCGACCGTATTGCGAGTACGGTGGAGCCGGGCGTCAATCCGGCTCGTTATTTTCCTTACTCATTAGTTTAAGGCACGAATTGACAAGGGTATGGGTAATGAGACTGACCAACAACGACCAAACTAAATGCGCAAGGTACGCAGCGTAATTCTTGACAGTTTATGTCCACAACGCTAAAGTTCGTCCAATTATTTTACACGTTTAGGTTTTGTAATTTTACCTCAAGCGCACCTTTTATTGAATATTAATTATTTACTTCATTTCTTTATTTAAAACAAGTTAAAGCTTGCGTTCGGAACATCTCACAGTTTGCTAAATTTGTCGGCGCGTTGAGATGCAAATATTACTTGGCTTGGCTACCTCGAAAAAATGCGCTTATGAAGCTGACGCATAAAAATAACGCTAAAATTGGCAAACGTACTATTCTGCACAAACTTTTGCGCATTTTTTTCACAGCTTTTATACTCAAGATTTTGAAACTTGCACAAATTTTATAGAGCTATTATGAAAGTTGTAGTACTTGTGTTTAGACTGCGTACGCTAGCATTAAATGACAAATAAATAAATAAAACATTTAATAATTTATGTTTAAAACATAAGCGGTAGTTTACTTACTGGTTAGCAATGGTTTTCAACGAGTATAAAAATTTAAATCTCTGAGGCTATGCGTAGCGACGGGTTGACGGCGTGAATATTAGCGACACTTAGCTTGGAGTCTGTTCTAAGTTCGGGTTTTGGGCCCTTGCTGACCCGCTATGATTATGGTCATGACCTACTACACTCCTGACCTGTTCAGATAGCGGGGTTCCTATGGGAGCGCGTGTCCCCGCTCTCGTTCAATCGCTCGCCGTAGGTGGCGCTACCTATAACCTGTTCGTCTGCTACTTTACGGCTGTTTGGACGGCGCTAGAGTAAGAACGGCTGCATTCCGTGATGAACAGCCGGCATATATGTGACTATTTTTTCACTTAGATGACTGGTCAAGTAAGCTGTTCAGTGTGACGAAAAATTTATTGCACACTGGTGGACAAATGCGAGAATCCGTAGACTTACATAGTGTAGGACAGCATATGTGATGTTGCGTCCATTTAATTGCAAAGAATTTGTGAATGACTTTTGAAATATTTGTTTCAAAATTATTTTTCATTAGTGCATAATAATTACGCAATATGAGTGCTCTGTTGGCCGAAATATGACCACGAACACTGAAGCTGACGTCAGCGAACAGGTGCTGACTAGCGCCACAGTGCTCGTAGGTGACGGCCCTAGCGGCAGAAGGTATGAACTAGAACGTGGGCGCTGGAAGAGGTGCTCTCTGGGCAGGTCAGGAGTGTAGTAGGTCATGATTATGGTTCCCGCATCATATGCAAGCTTTGGTCGGTGGTGCCGTCAGTTTGGTGCCGTTACGATTCTATATTTACTGACAGCTATGTGCGACAGCGATTGGCACAACTGAGGGAATCTCACAAACCCAAGGACCGTGTTTGCGTAGCGAAATGGTGCAGTGCTGCGTACCATTCTGCAAGTCGACACCGGGCCCATCGAACAATTACTCGTTTCACGAGTTTCCCGTCACGAAGATTCGTGTCGAGTGGCTACGACGGATCGCTCGCAAAGCTAATGGTAATACGCAGCTACGGTGAACGCTGCTGTGAGTGAATGTAGTTGCAGTCGCCGTCTGTCGCTTGCGAACCCGTTGTCAAAGGCTGACAACATTCGCGACAGTTAGTTTGCGCCACGGAGGAACCGTGGTTTGCGCCGTCTCGTTGTGTTGCAGCACGCTCGACCTCAGTACTTCGAGTCTCTGTGCATTACATTCATCGTTCCAAATTGAAAATGGGTTTGTCTTTTTCGTCTGACGAGTAACGTTTTCAAGACACTAATCGCACTTCAAATTGCGATCTCACGCTAACTTTGATCACTCGGTAGGTGTTCACATTTGTCCAAATAGACAGGCGAGCGTTGCAAGAGCATTCACTCGCTCTTTGTTGTTCAGTTGCCCCAGTAAACAACTCGAGCAGTTCGAGTACGTGCCAATTAATCCAGTGCTCTAGAACGAGACTCTGTCCAAGTAGACAGAGCTAAAGTAGTCAGTGTCACGGTAGATGTGCCACTGAGTATGTGGCAATCTCTTGGCCGTTGTCCCGGTAGGATTGGGCCCAAGTAGACAAGGTGGTCAAGGGCACTAATTCAGTGGCACTGGGAACATGGCATTGGATATGTGTGCATTGAGCCAACAAGACAATGTGTAGATTCGTTACAAATGCCTCATACACGGAATAGCTGTGCAGCTGAATTACCTAGCAGGACAGCAGGCAATAACTGAAGGAGTTGAAAATATGGAAGCAGCCCAATAAAAGAAAAAAAAAAAAGTGAACAGAGTGAGGCACTTAAGAATAAAAAAAGATTGACACTATTTTTGTAATGTCTCGTCTTGCTTGTCGCCACCTTTTTGTGCAAACTTGTCCAGTATCTCACTCATGGGTTTGTTCTGACACCTTTGAACCTCGTGCATACATTGAACAAGGAGTGGCAAAAAAAAAAGCGGGGGGGGGGGGGGGGGGGCAGTTACAGAGGAGTGAAAAATACAGTGAGAAATTTACAAAGTTGGCTACAGAGAAGGCTGATGCATATTTTGCGCAGAAGTTTCCATCAGCAGAATCTACCTTTGCATAACATTTTACATTTAAGAAAACATCAAAAAGAAAAGTGTTGTCAATCTCAATTCTTGTATAAGCAATTAGCAACAAACCTGAAGCATTGCAAATGTGAGAATGGTCACTGATTGTACTTGAATGTGTCTTTGGTGCACTGTCTTCATGTTGTTTGCATGCCGATTGCATTGATTTCAACATCCGCGGTAGAATGGGCTATGCTGGAATTTTTTTTATTTGCATTTATAGTGCACGCAGCACTGATATAGCACTGTGAGTGCAAAAGGGGCCAGCTTGATTGGCATCTGTAGCTGGGTTCTGGATTGAGGCAACTTCAATGAGGTTGCGTGAACCCTAAATGCCCCTTATAAATTTATGCCTTGCATGTAACGCTTTGTATCTACAAGAATATATATACAGTACAGCTAAACGTTTTCTTTTATAAAAGTAGACAAGTCCAGCAGAATGACATCCAGTTGTCAGTCAAGAAAGCGAGTGTTATTATAGTTTCCGTGTGTTACTTTTTCCTGTTTAACCTGATCTGAAGAACAGTATATATTAATGGGTATGGATAGTAATTGTTTGTTTACAGGTAAAGCAGAAATTGTCCTGGAAGGCTAATACTAACACTGCACATGCACTTGTGTTACACTACATAAAATGAATACACTCAAGCTTGATTGTAGCAAAGTCGCATTTACATAAAAATAACTTTGTTATAACTGAAAATTCATTTTAAAGGTGTATTCTAAATTTGTGTTGTTATAACCGATATTTTGTTATATCCAGGTTCGTTATATCGAGGTTTGGGTGTACTCAAAATAACTGTGGGCATTTTTTGTATAGTTGGTCAAAGCATAGCTAATTGTTCATCTTTGCTTGTTATGCAGGCACGAGTAATAAACCATGGTGCCCAAGCGATCGAAGCAAAGTGTGTAGTCTGCACTTCCGCGAGGAGGACTTCCGCCGGGATCTCAAAATACGCCGTCTCCTCCCAAATGCTGTGCCGTCCATATTCCCAGGATACCCTCCCGAGATGCAATTGGCCCGTCGCCTGTCCCCGCAAAAGGGCGATGCACTGAAGCTGCTGGAAACAAGCTCGGCCACTGAGGAAAGCGTTGCTAGGCCACAAAGAGGACGCAAGAGAAAGCGGTGAGCTCGGTGGAAAACTGACCTTGTAGTAGCGGTAAAGAAGATAAGCAATTTCATTTTGTCTCTCGTGCACACTACTGCACTGCAGAAGCACGGGCAGGCTGAAAGGAAGTACAAACGAACAGAAATAAAGCATTGTATGCGTATTTACTTCAAACTTACAATGCGCAATAGAGATATGAAGGAATGGTGAAGGTACTCAGCCCTTCAGCTCATTCTTTCTGACTGAACCATGCTGGTCTTGGGAGCAGAATCCTGTATTGAAACAGAAATGAATGAGCTAGGTTGTTTTTACATCTTCATGTTTTATTTTCATTGACTTGTAAATTACCATCGTTCTGAATGCTCATTTTTCTAATGCTCTACTACTTGTGCTACAGCAGTGGTTATTCCATTGCCCACTTTGTATTGCATTCCTGTTTATCGCCTGCTCACTCACGGTACTCGAGTAGGTTACATTGTTGCTACCTGGCAACTGTTGACGGTACATAGTATGTACGCACACCAAGCATGTCCGGCACAGTTATGCGCACTGTGGTATGGACACTGCCACTGTTACCAGCAGTCCGTGCTCATTCTCTTGGGTTGCCTACATAACACACGAGGCTGCTGACACAACACCTACGCATGTAATCCTGTGGGTGTTGGCCAGTGCCATTCGCGGCCATGGAAGCAAATTTGAACCATTCCTCTTTGCCAGGTGGCATTCACTTAGCGTGTGAACTTATTACAAGCTGACAATTGACAAATGCACTCTCGCATGCTACTTGAGGGCATCATGTCTGCCGGGACAAGACCTTTGCAATGATAGGATAAAAAGAAATGTATGGATCAGGGGCTTATTTAGCTGTCTGACACAACTTAAACTAACAGAGGCCAAGGAAGGTATAGACCTTTTTAACCTGGGTGCTGCCATATTGCCTAGTAGGTGATGCTGTCCATAGTTTGGCAAGCTGCTGGAATGGGCGAAGCTCCACGTGTGTATGGAAGGTATTTATGCGGTTGCGGTAGCAGTGGATTCTCTTTGTTCTGGCTGACTGAAATTCGTATCAAGTGTAGGTCGGAATGAGTCTGTGATACACACTGAAAGGTTTTGATCCGTACGTGGTCAAACATGATATAATATGCGTTGGTGTTTGAATGTGTCACAAGTGGTCTAGGCATCTTTTCGGCACTCTTTATATTGCAAAAAATCCGTGAATATTTTAACTCGTTATAGCAGAGCAAGCAAGTACTGGCACCTTTCGGGTTTACAATGAATTTTTTTCCTGGACTGTAATCTTCATGTTTGTTTTTTCACTTGAGATTCGTTTATTCTGCCACAGCGACTACTGCGTGCACATGTGGTCATGCATGAGCACGCAGTCTCAATTTCATGGCAATGACGACATGTGTTTGTTGCACTGTTGTCTATCTCGTTGCTTGACCTTTAGGTGATTGCTTATTACTCGCTCGTTTATTGCCCGCCACTGTGGACGAAATTAGAATTGTTTACAGTGAGGTCTGGTACATAAAAATCGATGCCGATGTTTACATGCCAGCAAGCTTACTTTTCTTCTTTTATATTTTGAAAGTCATGTCCTTTGATTGGCTTTCGGTGGTCATAAAGTGAGGATGGTTAGAGAGCTTTTTCTGCCGGTGAGGCACAAAGCGCGCTTGGGCTCAAGCCTATGATCGGCATAGGAGGTATTTTGTGTTTATTTTTTTAATAATGTTGTCTACCAGTTGTACAGTTATTGTAGAATTCTGCCTATCTTTTGCAAAGCTAAGCAGTGACATTGACAGTTATAGAAACACTAGACAGTCGTAGCGACATGGTTTTTGTTTTGCCCTTTGAAGACAATTAACTGTTGTATATCATTGCGTGACTTTTTGGACAAGGATGTTAATCGTGCGAAAAATTGTCTTCCCTAGGTAGTTATTCTACACCAGTGACAGAACTCTTGTTTTTTTTTTTGTTTTTTTTTTCACTATTCGGTTTTCATATCGCATATGATGCATGATACATTTCGCTGTCTTACATAACTTGCACACCCACAACAAGGATCTCATCTTGTTCTTTTCTCACATAATTAAGTGAATGTTCAAGTTTACCTAATGAGGCCGATGCAGAGCACAAAGTAGATGTGTCATGCCTGTTGCACTACTGTAAAGCGAGAGGTTTTTTCATCCGTGATAATACAGCTACATCAACCGCAGTGATCACCGTGTTGAGGTGAGCTACAAGGCTAATTCTTTCGACCAAACACATCACATTAAAAAACATAGCTGACCCCTCTGTCTACGAATCGGTCATACAGTAATGTTAAACGTGTCTTCACAGAGGCAGTTGAACATTTATTGGACATTGTTTCACCACAAGAGCAAAGTAATGAATACTACAGCTACAAATTGTAATGTCATGCGAAGAATGGCAAGCAGCTCGAAACTTGCAGTGCGTACCTCAAGCAGAAAGCATGCACGAAACGAGCACACAGGACGAGCGCGGGCAAACAACTATCACAGCTCGAGGCTTAAAGCTCTAACACAAAGAAAAGTGCAGAAAACAAATGCACAAGTTTACAGAGGACGATCGCAAAGAGCTGTCACAGAGCTAACTTGTTCATGTGTGAGCATTACGCTCCTTCCCGCAAATGCAGCCATGGCAGCCTGCAAAGTGACCTTCGTGCTCTCTTTAACCACTGTAACTTCAAAACAAAGTTGCGATAGAAGCACAAAACGTACCCCGCATTCACAAGATAAGCGTGCGCAAGCATAGTGACGTGCGGGGCTGGCGGGGCGACGATTTTTAGAGCATGTCCTATGCTCGGGCTTCACAACATCTCTCAAATGATAACAAAAAGCCGCTGGAGTTGCTGAACACTGAGGACTGCTAACAGTATATGGTGTACATAAATAGCTTGCTGTTGGCCAGCTGGACAATAAATGCTCTGTGGCTTAGTGGTTTCGCTGCACGCTGGGGAGCGAGAGGTCGATTGTTCGACATAGAGTGGCGAATTTTTTTCTTCTTGTTTTAAAGACGATAGTCTTTTTTGGGGACCTTCAACGCAATAGCCTTGGTCTGTCTGTCTGTGCATTTGTCTGTTTGTCCGCCCTTAACAGTACCTTAAACGGCACCGAAGTGGCCAAACGATACTCCAAACAGCCGACCCCATCCGCAGCGCCCACCGATATAGCTCAAGATTCAGCGTTCTACTTGTGCAATTGTCAATTAAAAAGCAATCAATGTGCATATCTGAGGCACCATAACAACACGTCAATATTCTGTATGTGTGTCTCTTACTAGGAAAGGCATACATCAGTAATTATAAGGACCGCAGCGTTTATCACGTTGCGCTTACCAGGCAACGCCTGCAGGAAAAGGCAAGTGGTTCCAAAGCTTTGCTAAGATGACACGGTGGTGGCACGTGCCCGTCGCTTTGCGTTCTACACCTTATCACCTCCGAAACGCGCACTTCGTTTTCCAAGATAACTGCCAGATAGCGCTCAAGTCTCACATGTGACGTGACTTGATACACTCGTTTGCTTCCACCGCAGGCTCGAGACACTCTAATGCAGCGCCTCCAGTATACCATTCACCGATTTTCTTGCGCAGAAATTAAATAAATGTTTTGTTCACTCTCCAGACGCAAGACTACAATTTTGTCAACGTTTGCAGTGTAACACGCAGATACGGGGCCAGTTTTTTGCTTTGCTACCTGTTAATATTTTACAGCATCATATCCGTGACTGATATACGTCAGCGAAGCCATGGTAAACCCCGGCATTAAACACTGTCGTGTTAAAATGTAATAATAAAACGAAGTGAAAACAACATGGGTGGCTACTGTAGTGTTGCTTAGGTGTTTTGCACGTGTTGATGGAAATTAGGCCTGGTTATGTCTTGTGCTGGACACCCAGATCACAATGTTGATCCAACTCTCTTTTTAGGTTGACATCAGGCAGTTTGACAGACAATACTCAAGTGACGGTGGAAGTGTCAGGCACTGTGGCAGGAAATACGATGACCACCACATCATTGACTGCTACTAAAGAGAAATTGAAGAGAGCTTGTGCACCTGAGCCAAAGGCACGTTGCAGAGCGGGCCACAGAAACCTTGCTGATAGCTCAGACCTTGTGCAAGAGTTGCCAGCTGTTTCAGCAACTGCAGGGCAACACAACCAGAGTTTTTCATCGACATTAACTCCAGCATCTTGTTTACAGAATTTGGTGATGAATAACTCCACCTCGAATTTGGTTATCTATAGCATGCAAAGCTTGCAGAAATCACCTTCTATGCTTTCTGCAAACTCAGCAGAAGCTGCAACCAACTCATGTGCTACGGAAAGACCTCTGGTAAGCTCCATGCAGCTGGAGAATGAAGAAGGAACTGTGACAGCCACTTGCATTGAAGCCTCAATTGTGACTGCTTTAGATCCGGTGTCTGAAACTACTGTTGCTGCTGTCAAGGTTGTTGAAGATGCTGCTAGCAATTCAAAGACACTTGTACCTAGTTCAATCAATGCAGCCGCAATCTCGTGCAGCCAATCGTCGTCTACAATGGACTCCCAGGTGCCCTGTTTAGTGTCGCCACAGGCAGGCATGGTGTTATCGCTCAATCCCTCCTCTAGTGAGATGGTGCCACAGGGCGAGTCATCACAACTTGAGCCGAGTGCACCGTCATCAGAAGCAGTTGTGGTCTCTGTGAGCACACCACCGACGCGTGCACCACAAGGGCTGGCAGCAGAGCCTGGGTCTCGTATATTGATGTTAACAAACAGTTCCACAGCCACAACAGCTTCCTGTAAGCGAAAGCTTGTGGCAGTTGCGCCTTCGGGAATTAAACCTGAAGCGGTGAAGGAATTGCTGCTGAGTTCTGGGCGTCTATCAAACACTGTAGTATCAGGTAGTGCAAACCCACTAACAAGCAGGTCGATCAATGCGAGTGAAAGCAATGTAGCGACATCATGTGCATTAAGAACTACTCTGGGCATGGTGAAAGCCGTCCGGCCAAAAACGC